TTTAAGTTTTGAAACTTTAAAACTGGACCATTTTAATAGTAGTAGGAAATCAGCCACCCTTTAAATTTTAATTAGTGGTGTTTTTGAAACCCTCCACATAGTAAGCCCAAGGAGAGTGAAGCTGGTCCTGTCTTGAACAACCCTGAGGATAACTTCCAGACAAGACCACATGGTTTCTTTTGCTGGTGGCTCCTGGGTGCAGCTCACTACCACCCCAAGCTGAATCATCCTTTTGACAAATAAGCAGAAAGGGGCCCGGCCTTTCCCCCTCTGTTCCACAGCAAAGGAAACACAAACCTGAGATGAGCATCAGAAAAGGTGAACTCCCTAATGACCCTCCTAGCCTCCTCCGTCTGGATTCTTAAACGAGATGAGTGTCTTTTCTAGTTTCATCACTGACCCCACCCTGCCACCTCAGTGGAGCAAGAGCAGCGTGGGCTCCAGGTACCCCCGGCTGCCTCGTCCTGAAGGGAGGGGGCCTGGCCAGGAGAGACAAGGCACCAAGGAGCCCCAGGGTCTCGGGACATACCCCGTTCATGTTCCTAGACCATCAGATTTACAAGACTTGAAGGATTATTTTTTATATTAAAGAAATATAGAGACATTACAGAGTAAACTGCAAGCATCAAATAAAAGCTTAAGAAAAACACACATTTGCTTCCGTCACCTTGGCCTCTGCTGCAGACTCCCAGAAATACAGGTTAAGTCTCCTCTTCCAAGAAGAATATTTAGTGGACATTTTAAAGTCCCGTAGGAATATGGCACAGCTTTATATGATAGTTTCCAGAGCTTCATCTTAAATATCTGTTTCTTTCCCTTCTTTTCCTACACAAGATAGAATTATATTTTCCAGACAACCTGCTCACAGGTGTGCAGAGAAACAGGAAATGCTCTCAGCGACACCCCTCACGCATCTGCTGACTTTCCTTTCTTGATCAACGGCAGCTTCAGAGCCAGCCCTCACGAAGCTGCTCCCTCAGCCGCCTGCCTTTGCGTGAAGGTCGTTTTTGTCATTATCAAGCTATCATCGTGAGGAAGACAATGCACCTTGTCCTGAAGCTTATAAACCATTGTCATTTGAAGGGTTATGAAGTTTTACTAATGTTCTCTAGTCAGGCAAAAATCACATAGGTCTTCATAACAGTAACATGGGCAACTATTAATACCGGATTTTAACATCCAACATTTTGGCATCTCATAAAGAGATTCGCATCTTACCCTGTTTGATTTCACATCTCAGCAACGCCATAATAGATGGAAGAATTGTTTTTGCAAGGAAAGAGAAGCAAAAATGCCCATCGTCCCCCTTTCTAATAGGACTAAGCATTTCTCACACTCCAGTCAGGAAAGAAAATCACCTCTGCACCCTGACGTGAGGCCCAGATAATGCAATCACCCACTGGAACCTGGCCCTCCAAATAATAAAATCTGAATTACATCCCGCTCCCTAACACAAAATAACTTTTCCCTGGATTATTTACCATGCTGATGCCAAAGAATAGGTCACAGCTTTGGGAATGTGATAATCATGAGAAAGCTGTTTTCACTCACGATCAGACCAAAGCTCGCTTGGCGGCCTTGGTAACTGTGAAGGGCATCACTGTCCCTCCGGGATTTATGTGATCTTACTGGACAAGCCAGTGTTCAGAAGCTTCACTGCCTCATACTCTGGAGGAAAGGAAACTTCCTTTCCTTTTCTGCTCCTGCCTCTGAGCCGCCCTTCGTGGGAGTATAAGAGACACAGGCAGAGGCCGCTCCCCTTAACTCCCTTAACCCAGTAGGGACAATCCATCCTCTGAGCCAGCACCCTCTGTAGGGCCTAATCAGTGTTAATTCTATTTGTCTTCTCTTGCACCTTAAAATGTATTCAAGGGACTCATGTTCCCTGCCCTCAAGTGAACATCTGAGATCTCAGGGTGTTTCTTTATCCTCTTCAAAGTCCTAAAAGGATTAAAATGTACAGTCTTCAGAAGCAAAAGAAGCTCTGACCTGGTTATAACCTGAAATCAGCCCTCCCCCTAGTAAGGTCCTCCTCCACACTGCTCTCCAGCTCAGCGTGGAGAAGCTAACTTTTGTTCTTTCTCTATCATCTGCTCGACTGGCAGAGAGGAGCCTGGCCAGCCTCTCATGACAGGGCTGAGTTCCCTTCACAGCCCTCCTCTGGTACATCAGACATGCTCGGCTCACTCCCATAATCCCACTCGGGAGGCCGAGGTGGGAGGACTGCTTGAGCTCAGGAGTTGGACACCAGCCTGAGAAAGAGGGAGATCCCGTCTCTACTAAAACTAGAACAATTAGCTGGGCATTGCGGAGCGCAGCTGTAGTCCCTGCTACTCAGGCTGGTGAGGCAGGAGGATCATTTGAGCCCAAGAGTTTGAGATTGCTGTGAGCTATGATGACTCACTGCACTCTACTAGAAGTGACAGAGTGAGACTCTAAAAAAAAAAAAAAAACAAGAAAAGCCAAAAATTTAAAAATTAAAAAAATACTATCCAGAAAATAACATGGTAATCTTCCAAATATGATAGTAGGAATGGCAATGTTTCCATAAATGTATTATATAATACCATAAGAATATCATCCTTCCAATATTTTTTGTACTCCAAGTAACAAAAACATTTCCATCCTGAAAGCTAAAAAGAAGAGACATACTATTCTCTATAGTTTAATAATTTGAACTAATTTAGCATGTTTAATAAAAGTTACCTATGGACTTTGGTATCAAAAAAAAAAAAGCAAAAAATAATGAGTTCTGACTGACAAAATACCTCAGCACTTGGGGGCTGATAGGAATGGGGAGGAGGAAGGCCACACTCTTCAGTGTCAGGATGTCATTAAGAAGGCAAAGGACAATGACGCCACCCCCAGCACAGTGGGGTCATCCCAGAAGGCTGAAAGGCAGCAGCCAGGGATGGGTGTGAACATGCCTGCGGAGGCCAGCAGGATGAGCAACACAGAACAGGTACGCACACATACATGCACACACACAAACACATGTGTGCACAATACATGCACACACAAACACATGTGTGCACACATGCATGCACACACAAACACACATGTGCACACATACATGCACACACAAACACACATGTGCGCAATACATGCACATTCAAACACATGTGCACACATACATGTACACAAACACGCATGTGCACACATACATGCACACATGAACACATGCGTGTATGTGCACATACATATGCACACACAAACACACACATGCACGTGCACACACACTTGCACACATACATTGCTTTTGAAAACAATGCCCTCACTTCTGCAATCAGAACACTGTGTTTTCTCTTACTTCCACTGAATTTCATGTTTTGAAAACCACTGGTTGCAACTAGATAACCTGCCAGTTAGTCCCATGAGTTACAGCCCACATGTGAAAGACACTGGATAAGAAACACCCCAGTCTAGCCCAGGAGATCACTGGAAAGAGAAACAGGTCAGTTTAGCACAAGCTGTCTTCTGCCCTAGGTGGTCTTGAGATATCTTTCTAAAGAATTTGTTCTGGAATGTTGCCAGGATTCGGTGTTTCTGTCTTTTGAAAAGTCTCCTGGCTCTGCCCTCATCTATCCTATCTGTGCAAAGGTATCTGTAACCCCCTTCACTGTTTTAGGATGCCCGCCAGGTAGGCTTTGAGCCCCACTGCAGTTCAGCTTTACAGGCCTCTTAAAGGGGTCAGACTGGCTTTCTCGCTTTGAAGACAGAGAGGGAGGGAGCAGCTCTGCCCACCACGCATCTGCATCATCTCAGCTTCCACACACACTGCCCTGGCCCTTCTCACAGAAAAACTCCTAGCCACCACTCGCTCTCCCCACCTGACCCTGCAGGCCAGGTCACCGTCTTGCACCTGCTCTTGGTGACGTACCCCAGGTGACACACCTGAAGGACACCAAACTCACCGTCCTAGCATCCAGACCTGCACCCCAGACCCCACTATCAGCCCTGGGGATACTCAGGAAAGTTTAAAATTGCAACCTAATTTTCTTCACCCATAAACCGGAAATACTACTGCTCACTTCTGGGCTCCCGTCAGAGTTAATTTATGTGTCGGTCCTTCCTTCTCTTCCCTGGAGTAGCAGACACTTCCCCCGGGGTTCTTTTACTTTCAAAACACCAGTGTTTCACGCAGTGGTTCAGGCCTATAATCCCAGCACCAGGAGTTCCAGACCAGCCTGAGCAAGAGAGAGAGACCCCACCATCTCTACTAAAAATAGAAGGAAAAACTAGCCAGGCATGGTGGCCGGGGAGGCTGAGGCAGGAGGATCGCTGGAGCCTAGGAATTTGAGGTTGCTGTGAGCTGGGCTGAGGCCATGGCACTGTAGCCCGGGTGACAGAGTGAGATTCTATCTCAAAAACAAAGAAAAGCAACACCATTGTTTCACTGTCGTCTGATTAAATGCAGAGTAACATCTGGGAGTTATGTCATGGAAAACGCCGTAGGAAACTACAAGCCTCCAGACCGGTTTCTAAAGAGACTCCCGGACCTGAGCAGGGATGGCGAAACGGCAATTTCCTTCTAATCAGTAAAATAACCTGCAGGCCGGCTGCTCATCCAAACAGAATGAATTGACCGTCAGCCCGGCTCACCCCGAGACCCTGCCCACTGCCGGCGCCCAGCGGGGGTCCGCGCGGTTCGCCTGGAAGTGCCGGACCCGGTCCAGGACGCCGCAGTGGCCGCGGGCAGGAGAGGAAAGTTTTCTCTCCGGGGTCGAGGGTGCGTCTGGGCGTCCGGGACCCGCGGAGGAAGGAGGCCCCGCGGCCGGGGCCGGGGCTCCCAGGCTCGTCCGACGCCCTCGGGCGGGGCAGGTGCGCGTCGGCGGGCCGCGGGGAGGCGGTAAACGCGGCTTCTCTGAGCGGGGTCCACGCTCTTCCCCTGGGCACCCGCAAACCGCAGCTCCTCTCCCACCCCCAACCCCAAACTAAAACCCACCCCGAGCCCAAGCGAGCCGCCCCCACCCGCCCTGGGCCCGGTCCCGCCCGGTTACCGGCTGGCGCGCCCGGGCCCGCGGGCTCGGCGGGTCCCGGCTCCTCCGAGTGCGTGAGC